ACCAGCAGCCTCCTGGGAGGAATCCAACAGCTACAAGAGGCAGGACAGTGGGGCTGGAGATTGGAGACAAGGCTTGGTACAAAACACCTCAGCACTCCAAACATTTATTTCCCAATAACAGTGTTCAAGCCCTCTGAGAAAACATCCCTATCTCATCTAGCCAGCACTTAGTTTGCCCCTGACACATTTCCACAGCAAGTTTCACACTCAAGATGCACAGCCATTCTTCTCAGGGTAGGAAGACACTTAATCCCAACAATCCAGTGCCTTCTGACACTGCTGTGGCAGGGAAGCAGGACTGAAGCCCTGGCTTCGCTTTGGCACCCTTGGGAGAAGCTCAGTAATTTGCAAACACCCAGGTGGTACAGAGTTCAAGTTTGCTCTTCAACCAGTTTACAACTTCAGGCTATTTCCACACATGCAGAACTTGCATCCTTGCTTAACAAGCAGCAGCAGAGCGTGGCTGCACCTACCCAAGAATCACAGCTGTGGAGACAAACCCCAGAACCCCAGGCCTAGCAGCTTGAAGAGCAATCACAAAGGTAACCTGGCACTCACATCAGAAGAGCTTCACACCTTCTCCTCCTCCCCTGGGGAGGTTTTTTGGCTGTAAATGGCACCTCACAGAATAATTTTTACACTGCCTTACCCCAGGTAGGTTCAAAACTTCAACTGGACATAGCCTATATCTAGGAAATAATTCAAGTCTAAGGCACTTTAAGAGGTGCCCATGTAAACGCTACCTCTGTCCCCCACAGCCACAGTCCAGCACCTCAACAACGTGACCAAGGAAGGAAATTCCTGGTAAGTTCACAGATCTTGTCCAGTTCTGCACTTGGGTAATCAGCCCTTGTGACAGGGACTGCATCCAGAATCTGTTTTCTCATACTGCCTGGGAGAACAGCACAAGGGGCACATCACTCGACCAGCTTTGCACCTGGGGAGACTAGCAATGGAGTGTGACAGGCACACATGAACTTACCAACAGCCTTTGCTGTGCGGAGAGCCAGTACCTGCCCTGCCCATCCCAGCATGCAGTCAGCTGTGCCTGGGATATTCCAAGCAGGGTCAGTGACAGGCACTTATAGCTGATGTATGTAAAGCAGTGCTGTGCTAGGCACTAAGAGGCTTGAAAAACATATCTGTTTCACCCAACAAAGGAAAAGCTGGGGCAGCAATAGGCTTCATACGCCTTTGTCCATCAAGCTCTTCATTTAGCTCAGCAGAATCAAGAATTATAGAACCACAGAATGGCTGGGGTTGGAAAGGACCTTAAAGCTCATCCAGATGCTAGTCCTGTCTCGAGCAGGGACACCTTCTACTAGCACAGGTTGCTCCAGGCCCCATCCAACCTGGCCTTGAGCACTGCCAGGGATGCAGAAGAGCCAAGTGCCCCCAGGGCACCAGCAGAACCCGGCGCAGCTCCTGTCCTGAAACACTCAAACATCCTCCTAGAGGAGCTGTGTGCAGGAACCACTGCAGGGTATGAGGCAGCCGTTCTGGAACACTCTCCTCAGCTGCTGTGTGGACGCTCGCCCACAGGAGTCGAGGGAAGAGATGCGGGAGGCCTGACAAGCGCTGGCCCGGCACAGCCGCACACAGCCTCGCTGCTCCCGAGCACACGGCTGGCAGACGGCAGCACAGGACCCAGCACAGCTTGAGGCCCAGGCCACAGCCACGGGCCAGGTGCTGCTCCCGGGAGCGGCCGTCCAGGGCTCGCGGGGTAAAGGCACACGGACAACACCCTCATACGGCCTATACGGGTTTCCCGGTCGAGCCCACATGTCCCGGGAACGGGAAGGAGGGGCGGGCCCAGCGCAGCAGAGCCCTGCTGGAGGTGGGGGAGACCCGCGGGTAATCCCGAGGGCCTCAGCCCGGGGCCGCCCCGCAGCGTTGCCATGGACACGCGCGGCGCGCACTCACCCTCTGCCTCTGACGCAGCCCTCGCCACCCGCCCTCCGGCCCACGGCGTGAAATCAACGCCCGGCCCGGCCGCCCCGAATTTATCACCTACGGTGGTGACAGCGCAGCCAATCAGGAGCCGCCCCCGGCACGCAACCACGCCGCCGATTGGTGGAGGCGTCCGAGACACCGCACAGCCCCCCTAAGTCCCCGGCCCCGCCTCCTTTCGCCTCCCCTCGACCAATGGCGACTTCCGAGCGAAGCGTAAGCACCCGCGCAGGCGCAGTCGGGAAGGCAACGCGGCGGAGCTCAACGAACGTTTATTGCGCGGGGCCATTGCGAGCGGCACCAGCCATGGGAGCCGACCCTGGGGGTTACCCGGTCCCAGCCCTGCCGGGGCAGGGGCACCCGAACGTGCCCAGGCAGGGCTTGGATGTGCCCAGAGATGGAGCCTCCACATCCCCCTGCACACCTTGTTCAGTGCTCTGCCACTGCAACGGAACAAGTTCTTCGTCGTGTCGAGGTCAAACCTCTTGTGTTTCAGTTCATGGCCACTGCTCCTCATCCTGGGGCTGCCCACCACTGAAAGGAGTCAGGCACCTTCCTCCTGACACCTGCCCCAAACCTCTAACTCGCTCCCTCCACCGGCTCTCCCCTTCTTTATCTCTGAGGGCTCACTCTCCTAGGAAGAAACTGCTTTCACCCTCCACAAGCAGGGTGGTCAATGGGAGTGGGAGACACCAGGCTTTGCTCACAGGGTATCAGACCTCACTGCTCCCCACACTCACCCCACCTAGGGCTCCCCACCCTTGTGGATCTGCTGGTGCCGGGAGAGCGCCGAGCTCGCCCTGAAGCCCTTCCCGCACTTGGCACAGACGTAGGGACGCTCCCCGGTGTGGATGCGTTGGTGCTGGATGAGGTGTGCACGCTGCCGGAAGCTGCCCCCGCAGTACGCGCACGAGTAGGGCCTCTCCCCGGTGTGGATCAGCCGGTGTTGCATGAGAGCAGAGCTGTGGCCGAAGCTCTTCCCACAGTCCGTACACTTGTAGGGTTTCTCCCCACTGTGGACCTGCTGGTGTCGTGCCAGGGTTGTGCTAAACCTGAAGGTCGTCCCGCATGTCCTGCACTCGTAGGGTTTCTCCCCCGTGTGGACCCGCTGGTGCTGGACGAGCTTCTTGTTATCAGAGAAGCTCTTCCCGCACTCTGAGCACTTGTAGGGCTTCTCCCCCGTGTGGACCCGCCGGTGTTGTAACAGCGCTGCACTGACGCTGAAGCTCTTCCCGCAGGTCCTGCACTCGTAGGGTTTCTCCCCAGTGTGCACCCGCCGGTGCCGGATGAGCTGTGTGTTGTTGGAGAAGTTCTTCCCACACTCGGAACACTTGTAGGGCTTCTCCCCAGTGTGGGTTACCTGGTGCCGCATCAGCTTCGAGCTCACAGTGAAGCTCTTCCCACACTCGAAACACTTGTAGGGCCGCTCTCCTGTGTGGATCCTCCGATGAGGAGTAAGTTGTGACTGGTGCTTGAAACTCTTCCCACATTCAATGCAGGTGAAGCGTTTTTCTCCGGTGTAGATTCCCCGATGCTGGATGAGGTTGGAGCTCACCTGGAAGCTCTTGGATCTCTGAATCCTTTCTGAACTGTGTGGGAGAACAGGGTCCTGTGCAGCACCCTGGGAACTGTTCTCCTTGGAGAGTCCTGAGCATAAACCCTTGGACTCCATTGGTCTGGGGCTGCCTTGATGGTCATTGTCTTCATTCGTGCTCACAATCCCATCTTCAGCTGCAATAAAATGAAAATCCAGACAAGTCACAGGCAGGACTGGAAGCTTTGGACAGGGCAAATCCCAAGGGGCCACAGAACCACAGGATGTTTTACCTGGAATGGACCTTACAGATCACATCCAGTTCCAGCCTCCTGCCATGTGCAGGGAAACCTTGCACAAGACCAGGATGCTGCAAGCCCCATCCAACCTGGCCTTGAACACTGCCAGGGATGGAGCAGCCACAGGACCGCCTTCTCCTGTCCCTGCCTGCTCTTGTCAAAAGCCCCTCTCCACATTTCTTGTTGGGCCCTTTAGGTGCTGGAAGCTGCTTTAAGATCTCCCCAGATCCTTCTCTTCTCCAGGCTGAACAAGCCCAGATCTGCTTGTCTGCATAGGATGTTACTAAAAGTTGAACTGGGAATTAGAGGAAGGCCATAAACAACTGCCTTGTTCAGAACATTATTTGGGTTACAACAGTAATCTCCATGCTCTTGTGCTGCTGGTACTGCAGAGAAAGAGGAGATGTATAAGGCAAGACACACGGACACTGCCTGGAGCCTGGCTTATACCAGTGTTAGTGCTGAAGCAAATTAACTGTATGCCACAGACAGGATGGAAAAAGGATGTTTCTGGCAGGACAGCATGAAGCTCTTGACCCATTCGTCAGACTTACGGAGTAGAGAGTGGAGCTAGCCAAGCTGTTCTGTTGCCACTGTGTCCAAAGAGATACTGACTTTGGCACTTACATAGAAGTTTGCTTCTTTAAATAGACCTTGAAAAAGCCTTCAGAAGCAT